GGCAGCGCCACGAGTCACCTGGCACAGCTGGCACCACGCACTGGCAAACTCCCGCGGTTACAAAACGCTCTCGGGGCTGAAGGCTCGGCTCCCCACACCTGTCACCACAGCACGCTCCAGGGGCAGTGTTGAGACACCAGGCCTTCCCCTGCAAAGCTGCTCTGGCACACAGACCCTTGGCTTCATGCCCGCAGGGCTTTCGTGGATTGTTCTGTTGCAGCCGGTGAGGAAACCTGTTTTAAAGCACGACTTTTAATCCTGCGTGCTGTAGTATTTCACACACACAGAACAGCCTAACACTATTTAAGAGGATTAATTTTTGCATATTTAGAAACTGTTATAGCTCTAGGACACCAGACCTTCTCTCCCTTGTTAGTCTTGTATTAAGCAGCAAATAATTAGGATCTCACACTTCAATTTCGAATTGAAATTTGCTTGGTGGGAAACATAGTTTTGTGCATCTTTTTCATCTAGCAGCACGTGGTTAAACTGGAGCCCCACAGCAGAACTGGATGCCTCCAGCCTAACCTTTGCTCCGAGGAGAGCTGTCCCAGCACCTCAGTGCTCTGGGCATAGCCACCCATCTCCCTGGGGATCTGTCCCTGGCTTGCAGCACCCCTGTGGGGAAGGAGGATTCCCTCATGTCCAACTTGAATTCCCAGATCCTGTGCAGAAAGAGAAAAAGCAGTTAATCTAGTTTTACATGTCGGGGAGAAAAAAACAAAAAGGAAATTTGGTCTTAAATGATTAACCAAAGGAAATGAACTGAAGTGACCAAAAGATTCGGTGTCCAGAAATGTCTTAGGACAAACAGAAGTTGGTCTCTCACACAACAAGAAGTAGCCCTGACTGTGGGTGCTGTGCTAAGCTGAGCTAACAGGGATGGAGAAAGTACCCTCTGCCCTAGATGAGAAGCTGCTCTTTCCAAATACTGTCTGAACATTTATCACAGGTGCTTTGCCTCCTCTGTGACAACAACCTTTAGCCCTCAGAGGCAAGTCACCATAATTTATCCTTGATTCATCTCTTGAGAACCAGAGCAAGGTTAACTTTTCCCCCAGCAGCAGGGAGCAGGCAGACCCCAGGAGCCCTGGCAGGCCACCAGCGCTGAGCATTCCCCCTTGGCTGACCTGTGCCCAAGGGGAGTGGGTTGATCATTCACCCAGCGGGTTTGACCCCGGTCAGCAGGGCAGACAGCAGTGCAGAGTCAGCACTGCCAGCAAGGGAGCTCTGGGGACTTCATGCCTCTGTTGCAGGAGGAGACTGGGCCCAGAGTCATGGCAAGATCAGGTTCTGCAGTGAGAAAAGCCCTGGGGTGCAGGCTGTGGCAGGCCAAGGGGCTGCTGGTGCAGAAGGGGTGCGTGCAGAGGAGCAGACCTTGAGGATGTGCTCCTGCTGATGCAGAAGGCCAAGAGCAGCTGTGTGCTGTGCTCTTCCTGCAGGGGTCTTGCAGCCATGGGGAGAAACGTCACCTTCAGGCAGCTTTGACAGCTGATGTCCCTTGGCCGATGGTCCCACTCTCAGTAACCCCTGTTGCTGTCTCTCCCAGCGCTGCTGCTGGACCTGCTGATGGTGGCCGTGGTGAAGGGGCTCGTCAAGCGGCCGCGGCCCACGCACAACAAGATGGA